AGGAACTCCGGAAAACTCTTCGGAATAATTTCATGGAGTACATTCTTGATACTCCCATTCCACGCTTCTACTCGAAGGGAACCATGAGTGATGAAACACATGATGCATGGTCTTCTGATTACATGCAAGAAAGTCTCACGACTAATGGCTAATTCCATTCCGGAAGAATGGAAGGAAAAATTCTCCTCCTATTTTCTAGACATGTTCCTCAAAGCACTTGAGGACGTTGTCAATGGGAGAGTCACCAAGAGTCTCAATGGCAATTATGATGGACTTGTGTTTGACGTGACTAGGTCACTTTCAAACATGAAGATAAAGCCACCGGAAGAGGGTTGCCTTGCTAAAAAGAGCACCGGCTTTGGTCTAGGGTCTACAATACCAAATTGAGACCCGATATGCCCCTCCAACCTCATGTTCTTAGAATGATTAGGCTCTTCAAGCACATGGAGCTTCTCGGAATCCCATTGGAGGATGAGATGGCGGGTCATATCTTGCTTAGCTCACTCCACTCGAGCTATGATGCACTTAGGATGCATATAGCTGTGGGAAAGGAGTCACACTCATTGAGAGATGTGGTGCAGCTACTTTGCAAGGCCAACTCCTATGGAGCAACCAAAATGCCCTTAAGAGCAAAGAAGAAGGAGTTCAAGAACAAAGCAAAGATGCGATGCTTCTATTGTGGTGGGCAAGGCCACTACAAGAGGGAATGCAAGATCTTCCAAAGGGATGAGGAAAAGAGGAATGTTCCATCTACCTCAGGTATCTTCATTAACCCTTGTGTATAAGCTATTCATAGGTATTGGATACCATGTATGACTCACTTTATGCTCCCATTTTCAGGGACCAAGTGAGAGGGCTTCACAAGTGGATGTGCTACTACGAGCGGACAATGAAGATGGTCCTTGCATCGTGCTTGTAGGCACATTATTTGTCTTTGGCTTGTAATAGAAATAATTCTTGTTTTATTATGTTTTGCTTACCGTTGAACATATTTTGATCTATGGAGTTGGATGCCGGGTTGTTTGAACACAAGACTATCACAATGGTTGCTTTGAATGTCTTGCTTATATGTTTTATGGGATAAGACATTCTGAATGTGACTAAAAAAATGTTAATGATACCACCAAAAGAGCTATGACCATTGAGTCGAATCAAACCTACTTGTGGCATTGTCGTCTTGGCCACATTAACATCAAATGCATCAAGACACTTCTTCATGAAGGATTCTTGATTCATTCGACTTAGAGTCGTTTGAAAACTGCGAAGGATGCATACTAAGCAAGATGATAAAACAACCATTCTCCAAGTTGGGAGAAAGGGCTAGTGACTTATTGGGTCTTATACACACGGATGTAGGTGGACCAATGAGCACAACCGCAAGAAATGGTTATCACTATTTTATCACTTTCACGGATGACTTTAGTAGATATGGCGATGTTTACCTTATGTCGCACAAATATGAATCTTTTGAGAAATTCAAAGAGTTTCATAGTGAAGTGGAAAATCAGCTAGGCAAGAAAATCAAAGCACTTCGATCGGACCGAGGTGGTGAGTATTTGAGCTACGAATTCGACGATCATTTGAAATACCATGATATTCTCTCAGAGTTGACACCTCCCGGAACTCACACAATGGAACGGAGTGTCTGAGAAGAGAAATCGAACTTTTTTAGTCATGGTTCGATCAATGATGGGTCTTAGCGATCTTCCTATCTCTGTTTGGGGACACGCACTTCTAACCGTGGCACTAACACTAAATCGAGCTCCGTCAAAAGCTGTAAAAAAGAATCCATATGAATTATGGACGAAGAAACCTCCACGGTTGTCTTTTCTTAAGATTTGGGGTTGCGAAGCATATGTCAAAAGACTCATATCTGACAAGCTTGCACCAAAATTTGACAAGTGTTTCTTTGTGGGTTATCCAAAAGAAACAAAGGGGTATTACTTCTACAACTAGTCTGAGAACAAATTACTTGTTGCTCGAGATGGTGTCTTTTCGGAAAAGGAGTATCTTTCCAAAATGACAAGTGGGAGGAAAATCAAACTTGATGAAGTTCAAGAAGGTAAGCAACAAAGTCAAACTGGCAATCAAAGTGCCTTGGAAGCAACTGTTGAAAATGGTCAAAGTCAAAATGCTCAACCTATTACCCTACGTAGGTCGCAAAGGCTAAGATCTCAACCAGACAAATACCTCGGTGTTGTCTTAACCGAGAATCAAGACATCCTAGTTATGGATGAAGATGAGCCAGCGACATACAAACAAGCTATGACGAGCACTGACTCTGCAAAATGGCAAGAAGCCATGAAATATGAGATGAACTCCATGTGTGAAAATCGAGTCTGGGACTTGGTTGAGTTGCCCGAAGGTTACACACCTATCTGTTGTAATGGATTTTCAAGTTGAAAACCAACAAAGATGGAAATGTATATGTATACAAAGCTAGATTGGTGGCAAAAGGTTACAGGAAAATTCACGGCATTGATTATGATGAAACCTTTTCTCTAGTCGCCATGCTTAAGTCCGTCTAGATTATCCTAGCAATTGTTGTATATTATGATTATGAAATATGGCAAATGAATGTCAAAATCGCCTTCCTTAAATGGATTTTGGAAGAAACTATGTACATGACAGAGCCGGAAGGTTTTGTAGATCTAAACAATGCTGGGAAGGTATGCAAGCTTAAGAAGTCCATTTATGGATTAAAGCAGGCAAGTAGAAGTTGGAATTTGCGATTCGATGAAGCCATTAGTGAGTTTGGTTTTATAAAAAATCCAGAAGAGTCTTGTGTTTATAAGAAGGAAAGTGGGAGTGACATCGCATTCCTGGTCTTCTATGTCGATGACATATTTCTCATTGGAAACAACATTCCAATGTTAGAGTCTGTAAAGGTTGGAAAGTGTTTTCAATGAAGGACTTGGGAGAGGCACAGTTATATTAGGCATCAAGATCTATCGAGATAGGTCTAAAAGGATGATTGGATTAAGCCAAAGTACTTATATCGATAAGGTACTGGGCGATTTAATATGGAGGAAGCCAAAAGAGGCAATTTACCCATGTCACATGGCATAATTCTCAGCAAGAAACAGTGTCCTCAGACACCTGATGAGCGAGAGAGGATGAATCAAATTCCATATGCTTTGATTATTAGATCGATCATGTATGCCATGATATGTACTAGGCCGAAGGTATCATATGCCTTGAGTGCTACGAGTCGATACCAATCAGACCCAGGAGAGGCGCATTAGACTACGGCCAAGAATATCCCAAAGCACCTAAAAAGGAACAAGGATAAATTTCTGGCCTATGGTGGGAATAAGGATTTGGTTGTTGAAGGTTACACCGACGCAAGCTTCTAGACTGACTGAGACGACTTTAAGTCTCAATCAGGGTACATATTCTGTCTAAATGGAGGAGCATTTTGTTAGAAGAGTGCTAAGAAAGCACAACTGCAGATTCTACAACTGAAGCCGAATACTTGGCAGCTAAGGAGGCAGCTTGGATTCGTAAGTTCGTTGGTAACATGATGTTGTACCCTTAATCAAGGGTCCGATAGATCTCTATTTCGATAACAATGGAGCTATTGCTCAGGCTAGAGAGCTAAGGGAACATCAGAAGGTAAAACATGCCATGAGGCGATTTCACATGATAAGGGAATGGAAGTCCGAGGGTGAAATCAGAATTGGCAAGATTGGAACGGACGACAATGTAGTCGATCCACTCACTAAACCTTTGCCTCAAGTGAAACACAACAAGCACGTTGAGGCAATGGGAATCAGGCACATTGGAGATTGGCTTTGATTTCCCAATTTGTGTGTTTTAATTAAGTTTTGGAGATCTTAATGTAAAACACCATGTTAAACCATTAATTTATGGAGTAATTTAATTTTTCTGTAAATTATTATTCCATTTCTATTTAATTGTGCTTTAGAACTAAATAATGAGTCCATTCGATTTGAACATTCAAATTAAATTGTATTTTGCCTTTTTACCAATTTTCCCACATTGATGGAAGATGGGATTTTAAGGGCTCATTTCCCTATAAATACCAATCATTTGGCATTGGGAAAGAGCACTTGAGTTGGTGAACTTGAAGGGATCTCCAAAGAGAGAAAACCTTTGTTCTAATAGTCTAAGTAATTTTTGGTCTAGCTCAGACTAAGCTTTGGGGTAGGGGCGGGCTCGGTTCGGTAGCGAGGGTGTTAGCCGTTGGAGGTTCGCGTGTTTGCAGGACTCTACGCTTTCAAGTCTGAGCTCTAAGTTAGAGCGAAGCACGCTACAAGGGTAATGATTCTTTCTCTCTCTTCTTGTTAATCATGTGATTAAGGTTTTAATACATGCTTAATTACTTTAATTTGTGTGCGGATTTTGGGCGGGTTGCCTTCCGCGTGGTGTTGGACATCACAAAACCCAACACAAACCACCCACAAGAGAAAGCTCTGCAGAAAATGGATGCCTTAGGATGACTGCTGAAATGGGCGATTGAGCTCTCCGAGTATGAACTGGAAGTTAAGCCTAGAGCATCCATAAAGGCCCAAGCTCTAGGCGAATTCATAGTAGAAGCCTCTTACGAAGAAAAGGATGATGAGGTGGGAATCTGGAAAGTAGCGGTGGATGGATCGCCAGCCCAAACAGGCTGCGACGCTGGAATAATCCTGACCTCACTTGAGGGCAATGTGTTCGAGTATGCCATCAAGTTTAAATTCAAGGCATCAAATAATGAGGCTGAATACGAAACAACCCTGGTGGGATTACGAATGAGTATTGCAGCTGGAGCGAAGAAAGTACACTTACATACTGACTCCCAGTTGGTAGCCAGTCAGCTAAAGGGGGAATATGAAACCAGAGAGCCTACAATGCTGAAATATGCAACTAGGGTGAATGAGTTGGCAGCCCAACTAATGCATTTCCATGTAGACCTTGTCCCCAAAGAAGAAAATTCACAGGTTGACGCGCTATCAAAATTAGCCAGCTCAACTCTTTAGAGCCTCATAAGAACAGTCATGGTAGAAGTTCTAGAAGAGAGGAGCATCGCTGGAAATAAACAGGTGAACTGCAGCACTCAGCAACAAGCATGGTTCTCGGACATACTATCATACAAGATGCATGGCGTACTGCTAGATGACGCAGTAAAAGCCAAGAAGGTCAACAGAGATGCCAACTGGTACGTAGTGATGAATGGAGAGCTAAACAAGAAAGGGTTCTCTAAGCCTCTCTTGAGATGCATTCCAGAGTTGGAGCAGGAAGGAATCATGGAGGAGGCACACTCAGGAATTTGCGCAAATCACATTGGTGGAAAAGCTCTAGGAGTTGAAGTACTTCGAAGAGGAGTATACTGGCCAACATTGACATAGGATGCCTTAGCATATCTTAAAAAGTGCGAAAAGTGCCAGAAATATTCCCCAATCATCAACCATCCAGCAAATGATTTAACTCCGATTCTCAGCCCGATCCCGTTTGCTCGGTGGGGAATGGACATATTGGGACCGTTCACCACTGGGTCAGCGAGCAGGAAATATCTCATAGTGGCAGTGGACTATTTCACAAAGGGGATTGAGGCCGAGCCCACAAAGTACATAAAGGCATCCAAGTAAAAAACCTTTATTGGGAAGAGCATTATCCAAGAGTTGGGGTGCCACAGTGTATAGTCTTTGACCATGGCTGCCAGTTTGACTATGATACAATCAAGGATTACCTGGAAGTGCTGAACATCAAGTATGTAAGTGCTTCAGTCTGCCACCTGCAGAGCTATGGCTAGGCAGAGGTAGTGAACAAGCTGATCCTTATAGCCTTGCTGAGAAAGCTGGAGGAGCACAAGGGACTTTGGGTCGACCTAGTGCCAAAATTGCTATGGAAAAATCGAATAACAGAGAAGGAAGCTACTGGCAAGAGTCTATTTGCTTTAACATATGGAGCAGATGTTGTTCTTCCGGTAGAAGTGCAAATCCCCAGCCACTGAATTCAGCACTATGAACAGCAAGGAAATGAGAAGTGCCTGTTGGAAGAGCTAGACTTCCTCCCAGAGGTGCGACTGAAAGCAGCCCTCAAACTGGCTGCCCAAAAGAGTAGAATCTCAAAGGCCTTCAACTAAAGAGTCAAGCACCGAGAGTTACTACCCGGAGACTTGGTTCTCAGGAGAACCGCAGCAATTGGAAAAGGAAATCAGCACGGAGAACTGTTGGCCAACTAGGAAGGCCCTTTTCTCATCCACGAGCAAGTGGGACCAGGTGCTTTCCTCCTCTCTAATCAAGAAGGTCAAGTTTTAAGGAACAGTTTTAATGCAGATATGTTAAAGAAATATTTTGTTTAAAGTCGTATGGCCAAGTAGAAGCATAGAGAAACTTGTTTAATTTTTGCAATGTTAATCAAGGAAATTTAGTCATTTAAATCAATAAAATACGAGCCTCTACGTGAGGAGTATCCTATATGAACTTGTTTAAAACATGTTTATATCTTATGTTATGATTTAGCATCATACACTCACGCGCAGGGAAGTTGGAATAAACTAAAAGTCACCACATCTATGCCAAAAATACTAAGGCAAGACATGGCAAGACATGAGTTGATCTCAAGGATCACCCAGAATCATACTTTTCACCCAAAAGAAAGACATCACTGCCTAGTTCAACCTACCAACTTAGAGTAGAACAGGGACGCCTGAGGTGGTTGCCTAACACATTCAACTTAAGATGGTAGGGGAGGACGAAAGACGGAAGGGAACTGAGTGGGCAACACCAAGGCTCTCTTGGTCTCACCTAGCTCGTTTTCGTGGGGAGTAGAGGGGATGACACATTTAAAAACTCTCACATAAGCTAAGTGAGAAGTCCAAATAAAAAGCCATCGCCAAACAGGCTGAATGGCATATCCATAAGTCCTTACATAGCTAAGTAAGTGACAACTTACATAACCCCTTGTCACATAAGATGAGCAGCACAAATCTAAGTCCTCACCCAGCTAAGTGAGCGACATGACCCTAAAGTCCTCATCAAATGAGAGACAAAGCGCCAACAACAAAACCACACACAACCGAGTGGGGGGTAGACGGGAAGAAAGCAACAGGGTGCATAAACCCATGCTAAGAGCGAGGGCCAAGCTAGAACAGGGGGAAACGCGCGCGGCTCCAAGTGATTCCAGATGATTCCCCATTTTGCAAGGAGATTCTAGAAGAGGGGATGGAGAAAATCAAGATGCCCAGCTATAAGTACAATGGTACAACAACACCTAAGAATCACGTCTCAGCGTTTGAAAACCACATGGTGATGTACACTATGACAGACTTAGTCTGGTGTAAGGCATTTCCCCTGACCTTAGATGGGCTAGCTACTGAATGGTGTAGAGCCATTCTGAAGGGATCTATTTACTCCTACAACCAGCTGAAGAGAATGTTCATGGAACATTTCGTCACGCTGGTAGATCGCACTAAAATGACCACGGAGCTAATGTCATTAGTCTAGGGAAGGAGGAGCCCATGCGGGATTTCATTACCTGATTCAACAAGGAGGCAACAATAATCCCAAATATGAGCTAGGAGGTAGCCTTACTGACCATGCAGAGTGGACTTTTGCCTGGCTCACCGTTCAGAGCTTACATGGGACGAAAAAGTCTTAAGACACTGGCTGAAGCAATGAGAAAGGCTCACGAGCTTATAAAGGCAGATGAGACTGACAGAGCCATGTTGAGCAGGAGAGCTCCAAGCGACCCAGCTAAGTGGGCTGAAGCCATTCGGGCTAAGAACCCAGCCAGGGGGGATTAGCCAAGCAAGGCTGAGCAAGGTCAAAGAGATGCAAATAGGTCAGTAGGAGTCAAGAGAACTGACCACCGATGAGGAGCATGAGTCGGGAAGTTTGAACAGTACACTTCGCTCACTCACTCAAGGTCTCACATCTTCAGTGTGAATAAATCTGATGACAATTGGCAAAGACCACCCAAAATGGTGAATAGAAACCGTGACCCCAGCAAGTGGTGTGACTTTCACAGGGCCATGGCCATATCACTGACGAATGTACACATTTGAAGGACAACATAGAAGATTTAGTCCGACGTGGGTACCTGAACCAGTTTAAGCAACACTCTTACTACGGACGACGAAGAGAGGAGGATAAGTCAGGCTATGACCGCAGAAGGGGTCAAAAGGATTAGGGTGAAGGTAGGGACCGAGACAACAATTCAGAGGGAAGAGTATACGTCATCAGCGGTGGACTAGTGGAACGGTGAATAGGGCAGAAGCTGACCTGCGTGCAACGATCTACCAAATAAACTACAATGATAGACGTAGGTGGCCACCCCAACCACCGCAGCCACGAGCAGTGTTTGATGAGTATGACCAGAAGGGAATAATCTACCCTTATGATGATCCCCTGGTAGTCACGGTGAGAATTGCAAACTAGGAGGTTGATAGAGTATTGATAGATGGCGGCAGTTCAGCCAACATAATCTTCATCAGTGCGTTCAAGGATTTAAAGCTTGATAAAAAGGATCTGAAAAGGGTGAGTTATGAAGTCACTGGGTTCAATGGATCAGACCTCATACCAGAGAGTATCATGGAGCTGTCAGCCCGAGTATGGGAGGGATCCAAGCGGCACGACAATGTGATTATAGGAAGACCGCTCATTCACAAGTTTGGAGGGGTAGTCTCCACCTAACATCTAGCTATGGCCTACACAAATAACGATGGAAGATCTGCTAAGCTCAAAGGAAGTAAAAAAATAGCACAACAGTGCTACATCACAACACTAAAAAAGCCAGCAAAGGAAAAACTGCCGTCAGGTTCAAAAGTGAAGCAAGAGGTTCAGGGTGAAAGGAAATATTGGAAGATTAAAAGAGAAGAATACCGCAGGGAAAAGGACAAGCAAAATCTAGCCATGGAGAAAATTGAACCTGCAAAGGAAGAAGCAGCCAGACCAGTACCTATCGAGCATGAAGTAATTGAGCTCACAGAGGGAGATAACTCCAGCATAGTAAAAATTAGGAAATACATCAAACCTGAGGTGAGGGTGAACCTCGTGGAGTTGCTGAGAAGAAACAAAAACATCTTTTCATTCTCATCAGAAGAGATACCCGGAATCGACCCATAGGTCATGGTCCATAGGCTGGACGTGAAAGAAGAAGTCAGGTCGGTCAAGCAGAAAAAACGAAATTTCTCTGCGGAAAAGAACCAAGCCATACAGGATGAGGTGGATAAGCTACTAGAGGTAGAATTCATTGAGCCATGTGATTACCCTGAGTGGTTAGGTAACGTAGTCATGGTAAAGAAGGCAAACGGTCAATGGAGGATGTGTGTTGATTTCACGGATCTCAACAAAGCATGTCCAATAGACTGTTACCCGCTGCCACGAATTGACCAATTAGTAGATGCGACAAGTGGGCACACATTACTAAGCTTCATGGTCGCTTTCTCAAGATACCACTAAATAAGCTTACACAAACCAGACAGGCAGAAAACTGTATTCATCACCGAAGGGGGAGCATAAAATTACATCGCCATGCCCTTTGGGCTGAAGAATGCAGGGGCCACATTCCAGAAAACAACGGATAGGGTGTTCATACATCATAAAGGGCAAAACGTGGAAGTGTATGTGGACGACTCGATCGTCAAAAGCATTACAAAGGAAGGACATATCTTAGACTTGGAGGAAACGTTCGCCACGCTGAATAAGTATCACATCAAGTTGAACCCAAAGAAATGTGTCTTCGGGGTGAGCTCTGGAAAATTCCTCGGTTTCATGGTGAGAGAGAGGGGAATTGACCCCAATCCTGAGAAGGTAGAAGTAGTTCTCAGTCTCCCAGTGCCTAAGTGCACTAAGGACATTATGCGTTTAACGGGAAGGATGGCAGCGCTAACCCACTTCATCAGTAAGTCAGCGGACAAAGCCTTACCGTTTTAGCAGCTGCTGAAGGGAATTAGATAATTCAAATGGGGTGAAGCGGAAAAGAAAGCTTTTGTAGGGATTAAGGAGCATTTAACCAACCTCCCCACAATGATCAGTTCGGAGCAAGGTGAAAAGCTCCAGTTGTATATTTCAGCCTCGACGCAAACCATAGGGGCAGTCCTCTTGGTCAAAAGGAACAAATAGCAGCGACCAGTTTATTTTGTAAGCCACGTGCTGACCGAGGCTGAACAAAGATACCTGCTAAGTTAGCTCTTGCCGTAGTAACAACAGCAAGAAAACTTTAACCTTATTTTGATGCACACATAGTCCAGATTCTTACAAACCACCCAGTGGAGAAAGCCTTGCATGAAATGGATGCCTTAGGACGACAACTGAAATAGGCGATTGAGCTCTTCGAGTATGAACTGGAAGTTAAGCCTAGAGCAACCATAAAAGTCTAAGCTCTAGCCGATTTCATAGTGGAA